TAGGTTCATCATCATGATTTCTGCCTTTTCACTGATATTACACAGTCCTCGGCCTAATTCGTCTCTTGCCAGGTATAGTCGGTCAATATTCGAAGCATTTCTAATCACTCCGTGTTTCTGTAGTATATTTCTTATTTTTTGGTCAATACCATCGAACTCATACATCTCGTAGTTCAATAGACCTACATAATAGTTAATGGTCGAAATGGCATATTCGTTAATAGCGTGCATCAGGTTTTTTGCGTTAAGCTTTGTTTGACATAATTTTTCAGTTCTCTCAATAATTTTCTCCTCTATCAGCTTTTTATTTTCTTCTTTAAATACATTTCTTGAATCTTCCAGTACTCCAAGGTACTTGTATCCTTTTTCGTTGTCGATTTCTTCACCAAAAGCCTGCTCACTATCTATATTGCTAGCAGACTTCTGTTCATTTACTTGGAACCCCATCTGTTTCAAGCATGACTTCGTATAGAAGCATAATTCTTGGAGGTCTTGTTCATCTTTCGCCAATAATTTTATATCATCTATGAAGATTAAATGATTTCTTTTGAAATTAGTGTCGTAGATCTGTACTTTATCACAGTTTCTGTTGAGTATTCGGCTCAGCGGCTCCATGGCAATTACGAATAGCTGGGGAGATAAAGAATCACCTTGCAGAATCCCTTTTTCTATTCTTGCTATTCCGATTTCTTCTTTGTTAAGAATCAATTTTGTTCTCTGGTTTTTTAACATTCTTTGGACGAATCGTATCATATTGTTTGGAATATTCAGTTTGTTGAGACATTGTTCGAGATATTGATGGCCAACACTATCATACGCTTTTTGAATGTCTATCCAAGACGTTTTTAGCCCATTGTCATTTGATATGTTCAGATTTTTATTTACCAACGCCTGTTGCTTTGCACCTTGGCATCTCCTTCTTGTTCCCATCTGGTTGCTAGATATCGTATCGTTGAGATCACACAATTCACTTATCATGGTTTGGATCACTTTACTCAATAACTTGTAGATGTTCGGAAGGCAAGTTATTGGCCTCAGCTCCTTCGGGTGACTGGCATTTTCTTTTTTAGGAATGAGATATGTCGTTCCAATATACATTTCGGGATCTATTTTTTCCGGATCATTCACTGCTTCTGTTATTATTTCAATTAGTTTCCCGTGTAGTGCTGTTATCTTTTTTATGAAGAAGTTATGTACACAATCGTGTCCCGGCGTCTTCCAAGCTGGCAAGTATTTGATTATCTTTTCTACAACTTCTTTTACTTTTTCATTCGTGGTTTCGATATTCAGATTGTTGGTCGGTAGGGCGTCTATTAGCTCTTCGCAGTTTTCTTCACTGTCTTCCTTAGCCCATATATTTTGCCAAAATTCCAGTGTTTCATAGTTGTTGATGGATTCACTTATCTTCAGTTGTTCGTCTCCTAAGCTACGGTAGAATCGTTTGCGGTTGAATTCAAAATTTCGGTTGTTTTTTCTGAACACTTTGCGGTTTTCTGCTATCCGCAATCTCTTTTGGTGTTTTTCGATTCTTTCGTAGATCTGATCTTTTAATTGGATGACTTTTTCGCTATTATTGGAATGAACTCGGTTTTTACTACATATCGTTTTAACTTCTTTCGTTGGTTTTTCGGTCGGGGCATACTTTTCTAGTATTTTGAAATCTTCCTTGAGATCTTCAATCTTTTTGTTGATCGCTTCGCGCCATGTCGACTCTTTACCAGATCGTTCTGTCACCTCCATATATGTTTTTTGACACGTATAAATCGTATTATTATAGTCTTTAATCGTTATTATCTTCTCTTCATATATCGGATCTTTCACTACTTTGTTGATCATATCTAACACATCATGTTGGACTTCTTCGCTGTAAACTTTTCGTGTTCGTTCTTTCTTTTCATTATTTATCACATATTTGTCGAAATTTTTCACTATTTGTTGTTTGATTTGTTTATATAATTGCACATTTTTGATTTCAGGCACCACTATTTCATCTCCTTCTTGATTTCTGGTCACAGTTTGATTATTTTGAGCATTTTTGATTTTATTGTACAAGTTCTTGATGTCCTGCATAGACTCATTTGTATTCATCTTCTGGTTATATATCGTTGTAATCTTTTTCCATCCACCTCTCGGGATTCTTCCTTTATATTTGATATTCACCTTTTCGATTAATTTCTTCATCCAGCTTTCTTTTTCATCTTCAATAATTTGTTCCAATATGATATCAAATGTTATTGTCGAGATCTGTTGTTGTTGGCTACTTTCAGGCACGGCGGCAGCATCGTCGTTTGTTTGTGTAGGCACGTTGTCCACTCGCGAAATTTCGTTT